CACACACACACACACACACACACACACACACACGGCTTGGTGGAAAGACATGAGTGTTACAGGACAGAAAGAAAAATGAGAGAAACAGCACCACCCGAGGGACACAGGTTTGCACACATGCGAAAGCACCCATACATTTAACTCGGGCACCTGTGTGCTGAAACACAGTACATAGATACACAGGGGCACAAGAAAAAAAAGGCACTGCCAGCAGGAACAGCTCAGGCTTTGGGTGGTGGCGTTAAAAATAAGAAAAAAAACAAACAAACACACAAACAGTACAGAGGGACGCATGTGCTCATGGACAACAGGCCTCGTGTATCAGTACTTTTATGCACTAAATGAAGAAGCATAAGAACTTCTCAAGGTTGAATGTTTTCTGTGATGCATGCACTCCAGATGTTTTAGCAGCCAGCTAATGTGCAGTTAGGATCCGTTACATTATACGTGCACTAAATGCACATCTTTGTAAGTGAGGCCCAATGATGGAGCGCTGTTGACAGACACACTCATTTTAAAACACTATTCACATGATCCTCACTGCCCTAAATGAGAGTGCAGACACACGCGCACACAGACGCACACACACACACACACACACACACACACACACAAACCAACCAGTAGGAATGATACCTAAAAATGTTCATTTCAACAGTTAAGTTAAACCTTGTCACTCTTTTTCCAGTGTCTACATAATTCATATGCATTGCAAACACATCATTGGTACATCATAGCCATGTTCATGAAATTTATATATTATTATTTCCTCTTTTTTTTTTTTAGGTTGGAAGGCAGGTAGATTCAAGAAAACCTAAATGCATGCCCAGCCCCAGATGTTTGGACCATCATTAACCTGCATCTACTGTAAATGTGCAAAACAGAATCAGTTTTCCTCACATACACCACCTTTAATTCAACAAACTTTTGTCTGTAATCGCTTTAATCACTCTCAGCAGATGTGCCCCCTCTCTAAGCTTTGGCATCAAAGTCCTGTAACATTTAATATACAACTCCATCAGTGTACATAAAGTGTGTCGATAAAGGTTTGTGGTTCACCTCCCTCGGCAGGCTTTTCTCCGCAGGTGGGGTTCATGCAGTTTGCAAGTGGAATTCATGCAAGTTTGATTGCGATTAAAGTGAGAGGGGAAATGGAAATTATATGACAGTTATCATCTTGGAACATGTCTGGATTATGTGTATGTTTTGCAGGAGCATGGAGAAGGGTGCCAACTGGGTGTGGCTGAAGAAGCACTGACTGAATTTAGCAAATAAGAACAGATAAGCAGGGGCTAAAACGAGCTTGTTCTACGTGGAACAGGGCTATCTTTTTCCTCCTTTAGCTTTTCTCTGTTCCCAATTCATGCTCCCTGAGAAAAAGCCCAGAATGGATCTCGCTTTCTTATACCTGTTCTGAGATTTCGAAACTCCTTAAGAAAACATTTTCTAAGGAGAAGCACGGGTTGCCAGTACTTCAACTCCCACCCTAAATACCTCCCTTAGAACTCCAGAGAGATAAAATAGCACATCTGCTGATAACTGATATATCATTTCCAGGAACAACACAGTATGATTGTCCTTCCATCCCTGCATGATGCAGAAAAAAAGTAATCATGCCTACTGTTCTAATCCTAAGTCTATGTGCAGGGAAGATGAGCTCAGACTCATGCATAAGTAACACTTGCAGTAGCAGCAGCAGCAGCAGCGGTAGCAGAAGAAGAGGGAATCTTTACAAACACCACTCATTATGAAAATCTATCAGTCTCAACTCGAGTTGAGTTACAGTACAGATCTTTCTGTGTGTATGTGTGTGTGTGTGCAAGTGTCCTTGGCACTATTTGTCCCATCAGCTAGAAGACAACACACACTCTGTAGCTTTTTACAACGCTTTCGACTCCCGATCCCCTTCACAAGGAGGCGACGTATGAGGGGTTGTGGTGGCGGTGAGAGGGGCTCATATGCGTCCTGAGAAAGGCTATGCAACCACGTGTGAACATGTGTGCACGTCCGCGTGTATATCTGGAGCTCCAAGAAAAGCTAGTTCGGGCTCTGCTCTGTGAATAGATCTCGAAGGTGTCGGAGTTCAAAGGGTCAGTCTCTCCCTGGGTTAAAGCCATGACGTTATGTGTGACGGGGGTCAGGGGGTATGTTGTTGAAGGGCCTGCTGTAGTTTCTTTCGGTAAACAGTGTATTTTTGCTCCACTGCTCTAATGCGCTCCGCCTCCTCTTTCTGAAGGATGACCAGGAAGTTTTGAAGCTCGGGGACAGAGAATGCATGCCACTGTGGGATTAAGAGGGAAAAGAGAAGGAGCAGATTTATAACACTTCTGGAGGCACTTACCCTCTTAACATTTGCAGCTTAGTAATAAACTTATGCATGTTTCTTTGCCTTCTCACCTCTACTTCTCCGGTCTGATTTTCCTTAAGCACAAAGCTGAGCTGCTCTGGATCTGGTCCCGCAATCAACCTTAGAAGAAGAGGGTGGTCAGAGAGAGGAAGCTTCTGGAAGAGGTCTGCAAAAAGAAAAACATAGCGTTGATATCACCAGTTACTTTTCTGGAAACCACGCGAGCTAGCGGCTGCACATGTGTTGTCCTCACCCTGTCCGTCGCGGTGCGTCTGCCTGTACAACGCAAACTTGCGTGGATCGTCCAACACCATGAACTTCTTCAGCAAGCCCTTGATGACCTCTCCTGTGGTGGTTTGAGAGCTGATGTGGAGCTGCTTCACACTGTCGCTTGGTAGATAGAAGGACGTTCTCTTCTCTGAATGCTCAGAGTCTGTAGCTTCCTGCTCCTTCGGCGGAGCTTGGAGGCGGTCGCTGACCTGCTTGGACGCACCCTCTGAGGCTGACGGGTCCACGCCATGGACGGTGACTGGTCGATTGAGCCTCAGGTGGACTTTAATGAAGCCTGTGTATGAGCCGTCTGAAGCCTACAGCAAGAGAGGGAAAGGTCGTGCATTAATGTGTGCAAAGTAACAAAATGCAGCCTAATGATGCTGTTTAGGATCTAATGTCCACCAAACTTGTGGTGGTTTAAGATCTTTCAATTTATAGACAGGTTAATGCAGTGAAACATGGAAATTAGGAAAATGTGAAAGATGTGTTTTTTTCTGAACTTAACAAAAGGTACAGGTTTTTTAAAAAAATGAATCTTTAGTTACAGTTATGATTTTTTTTCTAATATAAGTGGAAAAACATGACAGAGCAGTTAGTTATGAAAGACCTACTGTAGTTCAGCATGAAAATTCACAGGCCTGTCAAAAAACAAACAACAAAAAAACCCACCAACCACCACCCCGAAAGCACTCTAACATGTTCAATCTTGTTTGCATAGTTCATGAGAAAAATGTTTCTTGCCGGCAGCAGCCACTTCCTGGTGCATTGCTATTCTTGTGATGTTGCAGACCAGCAGACCAAAATGAACTTTGAATGGTCCCAGGTGTTTGCACCTGTAAGCTAAGTTAAATCAAGGCTTCCAACAGGGAAGCAATTTTTATCATCTCTTTTGTGTTTTTCAAATCATTCCCGTACTTTGTTTTGTTTTTGTTTTTAACAGTTAAAAGCTACATATATAAAAGTGTGTTACTTTATTTGATCAAACTAAGTATTCAGAAATACTATTCCTAATTTAATATTTTACTTTCTACACTACATCCAGGTTTGTTTGGTTGTTTTTAATATGTGTGCATTTATGAAAAAAAGGGAAGCTAAAATAATAAGGTTTCATTGTGACTTTGAGACTGAATAGTGCAAATTTACAAATTTGTTTAAAAAACAAAACTCTCACCAATTTCATTCCATTTTCTGTGACTTGAGCGTTATACGCTTCAATCCTGGCCCGCACTTCTTCCACTGATAGGTCTTTTGTCGCTCCCTTCTCTTCTTCCTTTGCTGCATTCTGCTGTGAGGCAAAGAAAAAATTATTATCAGCACTGCACCACTGTCGCAAGTAGCAGGAATGTTTTATCTTTAACCAGCAGATGGTGCCGCTTCAATCTATCCAGAAAAACAAAAACGGTCTAATAGTCTTTGCTCAAGTTTCTGAAGAAAGATGAACCACAATCAGGAAAAACCCTTTCACCTTCCACACAGACTTGCAGACCTAGTGGGTGTCATGCTTGGCTCACAAATTAGACTAAAGAGAATCTAGGCCAGTTCCTGCAGGGTGGTCTCTCTTGACACTACCCTGCCCTCCATCTTTGCCATCCTCACACAGAAAAAGCTGACTCTGACTGCAGCTGATGGGCTTTGAATACGCGCTAAATCATAGTTACACTAGCCCGCAGCTCTGCACGGGGACAGGAAATGTTGTGAATGGAGCTAATCGTGCATTCAGCATCTCAGCGCAAGAATATTGACAGCTTTGCCTCCCTCTTACTCATTTCCCTTTGTGAATAAGGATGAGAACGAGAGAGAGAGAAAGGAAGGATGCAACGAAAGGAGACGAGGGGGAGTCAAAGAGTGGGAGGCAGCGAAAGAAGGGGTAAGGAGTGATGAAAAAGCGGCTGCTGAGCCAGCCTTAGCAACACAGAGTTTGACTAGGTTATTTATAGTACAGTGGGATGCATCCTCTCTATCTCACAATAGCTTTTTTTTTTTTTTTTTTTATTTATGTAAAATTTTCTCCCTTCTACTTGTTCATTTGCATTTTCCGGGGAGGTGGGAGAGAGAGATTATGTGTCTTTGTGTGTGTGTGAGAGAGAGAAAATGTGATGCAGCTATGGTTTCTAGAGGGAAGTCCTCAGGTTGAAGATGAAGTCACTGTTTCTTTTTTCAATGGAAATGCAATAAGTGCACCCTTATGGTAACAAACGACACAAATAAAAGGACCCATTCTGGCTAAAACTGGGCATCTGGCAGGGGAAACGCTGCACTGCTTATTCTTTTTGTTGCTCTTCTTATTGCGCTACCAGACTCTGCCCAATTATAGTCCCACAATTCTGTAAAAATGCCAAAGTTGCAGCAGTGCAGCAGAATGAAGGTGGCGCCTTTGAGAATAAAATGTTTTACTAATTAGGACCCAAATACGAGTGTTTTTGCCTCATATCTGGATCATGAATGTAAGTATCTCTGTCATGAGGGAATTTGAAGCCTTCTGTTCTGCATCTCACAAGACCCATAAAAAGCCACTGAGTTTACTGACCCAGCTGCATTCATAAAAACATAAATAAAATAAAGAGCACATTGTGCAATCCAAGGTTAGGAAAGGAATCTGAGGGATACGGAGGAGCGGACTCGTATCGAGAATTCCGTGCAGTGGAAAGCAACAAAATGCAAAGAACCTCGCAGGAATTCCTGCGTTTGTATGAGAGTTTATAAATGTATCAGAAGCAGTGCCCTGCCCTGCCTGTCTGCATACCAGCGAGAGTGATCAGAGGACAATAGAGCCGGACAATAGTACAGTTTTCGCTCCTGTGAGGTCGGCAAAAGCCCTGACTGTGACCAGGTCGCAGAGGCGCACAGAGTCTGCAGAGGCATTCCAGGAAAACACATCTGATGGACTTGCACTGTAGATTATTGGCTCCAGAGCTAAGTGTTTCACTACATTAGATAGTTAGATATCTTTAGACAGTAAGTGCTTGAAAGTCTCTTAGCCAATGTGCAAGCACACTTCCATCATCTAATGCATACATGTAATAAGTTATCTGATTATACTGTCTCAGTCTCATATGAAACAATCAGCTCTTGTTGCCATGTTGGTTTTTAAACGCTCCTGTTTTCATAATTTAGATACCACACTTTTACCACATACACAGCTTTTATTATGCTACTTGATTGAGCTTCACTGTGTTGTCGAGGGCGCTTGAGGCAAACCTGAAGCAACTCAAATTTGTTCTTGTTGCTGAATGCATGTGTGAATGTGTATCTAAAAAGCATGAAAAATATAAATAAAATATCTGACTGTTACATAAGAGTCTCTCACATACACAGACACAGGGACAGTCCCTCCAAGGTGACGCAAATAAGTGTTGATGCTCTCACTCTTGTGAAGCTGGACAAGAGGTTTTACGACTGCTTGAAATATCACGGGAGTGTAGTCGATATGAAATCAAGTATCGCACCTGTCTGTGTGTATCACCTGACCAGCTTTTTAACTCAAACTTGTAAGACCGACAACATGACGAGTGATGAGCGTTTTCACAAAAATACAAACATTTTGAACAGTGTGCGATGGTCACATGCAATCACATACATAAAATACACACATGGACCTATGCACACGCAAACTGTCAGCAGTTTGTTTCAGAGTGCTGTCTTTACAGGGTCAAGTGTCAAGGAGAAGTGCAAGCTGATTCTATTTCACAGCCCACAGAGTGCTGTGTGTGTGCCATCACTGCCAGCAGTGCAGGTCTGTGCATGAGTGTGCACTCACACAACAAACGCACACAAACCTAAGCACCAGCATCAAAATAGATTTACTACCACAACTTATTGCATTTTTTTATGATGACTGAAACTGCAGATATCTACGGTTGTTGTTCGTGGTCCCACTGCGATGCTAATTTAGAGCAGGATTGTAGCTCAGTTTTTAATATGTTGCATGTTTGAGTGCAAGCAGTAACAATCATCTGTGCAATGACTAACTAACACGAGAGCTACAGTTGATTCAGCTGGTTTGGATTTAGCATCACTTGATGCTCTGGATTGGGCCCCCACAGGTAGCTAGGTGGCTAATAAGGCAAGCTACGTGACAAAGTAACACTTGGTTGTACACTGAAGAAGTGAGAGATTTCACGACAGGTTGATGTGTTTGGATCATATCAGAGTTTCTATTAGCTAAGATAATGTAGGAGGAAGTAATAGACACAATATTCTTGTTTTATTAGCATAACACGGTCTGTTTCTGAATAAAAGGTTACAGGTTTCCGGGTGAATATCAGTGTTATAACTCATTTATTTGAACTATACCAGAGAACTGCACATAGCAGTTCTCTCTCTTTCTCTATCACCCCCCCCCCACACACACACACACACAAGATGGCTGGCTAATCTGGAGCAAAAGGCTCAGCTCTGGAAATAATTCATAGATAAAAGAGTACATGAACTCCATTCAACTGTTTGGATGAATATGTGTGTGTTTGTGTGTGTACCTAAATGCAAACACAATCATAGAGTAAGCTTTGCCTGCACAGTGACACTTCAGTTCAGTTCCTTATGCACAAAACTTATGATAATGTCTCTATTTACAAGATGCATCTCAGATCTTTGCATACTCCTTTTCCATATTCAAACACGAGGATAAACAGAGCACTTTGCTCTTTAAAGACGCACTGCCCCACAGGGCTGCATTTAACGCAAGCACACAATTCAGTTTCTATTGGGTATGTAGACTAGCTACCATGTTGTCTAGCTAACAGTGCTACTGCATTATAATTCATATAATATTTCTTGGTTACAGGGCGTAGGGGTCATCAGCCTCAATCAGCTGGCAGCTTCTGTTCTCTCAGATCAGGCAAGTCAGCCTCCTTACCCTCCTGTGTGAGCCTGGCTGCAACCCTAACTCCACAACCTGACAGCACAGCTGGTCAATTATTCAGAGATTATACCTTCTCCAAGTCAGACACCAAAGGCAGCACAAGGCAAGGACAGCAAAGAAGGGGGATGAGCAGGTTTTACAAGAACACCAACTGTCTGTGTTGGTTTGTCAGGCCGCCTCCCACTTCCTGGGTCTCTTTTCTCTTTTTCGTCTATAGTATTGACAGCGCTGCTTTTCTTTCAAGTGCTACTTTAAATACTTTGGTTATGGTTTGTTACACAATCAGGTCACCGAATGTACAGTAGAGCTAAACTAAATCTCAGGAAGTGTGAAGACTGCCAGTAAAACCAGCAATGGGTTGCTATGGTAACTAGAAAAGTGCAGTTAAACAGTATACACACACACACACACACACACACACACACACAGGCTTGCTCTCGTGCAAAAGTATCAGCTTTGCCTCTATGGAAACCTCTCCACTCCCACACACTGTAGAGAAGAAGCCTCCATGAAATCAGTCTGTTAAAAACAAGCAAACCTGACAAGCCAACAGATCAACGTTGAACAATACAGCTGTATTACAGTAACCCCTTCCTACTTACACACACACACACACACACACACACACACACCTAGAGGCCTACTTAACCATGCACAAACGCCACCGCTTCCTCTCCTAACTTCTCCTTTTTGGATAAAAGTTTTGTTTTTTTAAATATAGAAAAAGTGCAGTAGAGTTTGTTTGCCGGCACGATTGGCGCACCGACTGAGCTTGCTCCGATATTAAAATTTCAATTATCAGGTTGACTGTACTCCTGATTCTGTACCTTAGTTGTTTGCCTAGGCTTGCGGAAGAACGAGGTCTTGGCTGTGAAGAAAGTGAAGTCCTCGCTCTCGTCATCCAGGCTGCAGTACCCACTGCTCATGCTGTTACTGCTGGTCATGGAGGGGGTCAGCACTGTGTTGACGGTCATGGAGAGGTCCGAGGACAGCCTCTGGCACCAGAAAAGCACCAGAGTAGCACGTTGGCAGCTCGAGGAAGCGATGGGTTGTCTCGAAGTGACGCTTGGGCACAGTCAGAGTCTACACGCGTACAACTGCCCTTTACTCATCCAGAAATAGTCTGCGCTCCTGTGCTGATGCATCCAGAGGGTTTAGATCCCACCTGCGAGGGCGAAACAGGTGAACTCGGCTTCGATTCGGCACTTTGGGTGCTACCGGAGAGACGACCAGGAAATGCAAGAGCGAGCAACAGACGTGTCACTTCCTCCTGTCATGCGTGTGAGTGTGTGTGAGAGTCACAAACAGGCCATTCTGTATGTGCACCTGAGTATTCTCAGCTAGACATACAGACACTTTTACGCAAAGCTTGTAACTACCTCACACGCACGCACGCACAAACGTAGGCACACGGCGGAGTGATGGAGTCAGCTTACAGACTGGTTTCAAGTTAAGCTCGCTCACCTGAGAGCACCTGTTATGCCCACAAACACACACTCGTTAAGGCATGCATGCAAGCAACACCACATCCTGCTTTGATCCTGCTCTGTGTCTCTGTGAAGACCCACTGAGAAGGAGCGAATAACAGTCCAACTAAAGTCCCTCATGCACAACCAAGTCAATTATGCTGGCATTTATTTGTGTAAGCATCCATCCGTCCCCAGGGTCTTGGGTAAATAGCAGCAGTAGAGCTCCTCGACTGCAGAAACGAGATGCTCACAGATCCCCTGCTACCTCCTCTCTGCTCTCCTTCCCATCGTTTTGACAATGTTACCAAAAAAAGGACAGAATCCTCACACTCAGCTCCTCTCTTTCTTATCCTCTCCCTCTTCTCTCAGCCTGTCTTTGCACCAGCTTCACCGCCTCACTCTCTTGCAACCTTGCTCAACCATCTGTGGTTGAGCGTGTTATCAGTCTGCAAGCGCCCTCCCCCTTCTCCCTCCACTCTCTCTCCCTCCCTCTCTCTCTCTCTTCCTGTAAGCGACTGCACCCTGCAAAGCATGGCCACTTCCTCTCACAGAGGGGAAAGAGAGAGGTATGTGTAAATAGAAAGAGAAATGCTGATGAGTGAGAGATATGAAGGCCCGTAGCTTCTGTATGACATACAAAACACGAACACAAACAGGAAGCAGCACAGAAGCCGGGCAAGATGGCTGCTCTGCAACTGATATTTGGGTGCAGCGTGCAACGGTTGACTGGAAACCATCATAACCGCCGTAAATGTCACTTTTATGTAGAACCATCCCGACTCTTAATTTGTCAGCACCGAAACACAGGCAGGGACCGACACAGTACTACAACAAAAAGGTGCAAAATCATTGCTGTTTTGGTGATGAGGGATAGGCTTATGGTGCACACAGAGAGAGAAAGAAAATGAAGAATGATGGCTGTTAGCATAGAGATTACCGTGACCCCTAACCTCAGAGCGACCCTACAACCTGCCCTCTAACTCTGGCAGCGACCCCCTTGCCAAAAAGCAGCCGACGCTTGCTGCTGCTGAGATTGATGTGCCCATCTGTCTGTCGGCTGCTTCAGTGCATGTAGCAAGATTTTAAAATCACACAATAAGCTTTGGGAGAACTGTGGCATGCACCGACAGTGTGTCAGCCTTTTACTGGGGTGTTTTTCATCAGGTTTAAGTCAGCTGATGACTGATAACCTACAGCTCTGCTCCTCGCTTCCATCAGCGTAATCAGTATAGGAGAAGAGTGCTAGCAGGGGGTGCTGCACACAAACTAGAACACACACACTACTGGTCTCAAGTCGATGAAACCTGGTCAGCGTGATGATCCTTTGTGTGGCTGCAGCAGTCTCAGTCCATATGGGGCAAAAGGCGATCAATTTCTGCTGATGTACACACAAAAAGGACTCGTACTAACCACACACATGGTTACAGTTATAAAACAGAGCAATGGAAAAAAAGGGGGCTGCAGGAAACAAAGTGTCATCTCTCCTCTAGCCATTCAAGAGGCTTTGTTTGAAGCACACCAGTCACTAAGTTCATATGCCACTAAAACTGACATAATCTTTTAATGCTGACATGCTGACTAATGGCCTAAATGTAAAATACATAAAAGCAATTTTGTCGTGATTGTTTTGTTCATGTGTAGCTGGACAGATGACCTGAATGTACGACACCAAGGCAGATGAAGTAAACACAACAGGAACCGCTAATGGCGATTACAAAAACACAGAAACACAAAGTCCAAACAGCAGCAAACCAAGAATCCAAAATAAGAGCACAAGAAGCACAAGGAATGCAGGGGAAAAGCACTGAGCACAAACAAAGGGAAACACAAAGTCCACATGGACAGATGAAGACAGGGCTATTAACCCTCCTATGAGAGTTTCAGTTTTGATTTTGTTCTGGGGTCTTTAAACACATCTTTCACTAGTTTTCTTTCCAGAGTCTTTGAAATCTTTTGCTTCCTAACTCTGCCAGGCTCATTCTGTACTGTGTGGCTCTCTTCAGTTCTTGACACTTTATGTGACAACTTTGTATATCTCTCTCTTGTTATATGAGCATCAACAATTCTTTTTCTCAAGTCTAAACTGATGTCTTTTGCTTTTGCCAAATAGAAATAATTTATAATTTCTAAAGAAAACTAGTGTTTGTATAAAATAGAAGCTGGTGTGATGAAAATCCCTTGCTCTACTAAAAATAGCACTTGGGAAAGTTTGACCAAAAAAAAAAAATTCATAATGATTTTGTCCTCTGGGGTTAACTGCAAAATGAGACACTGGCAGGGACAAGGAGCGGGTGAAGTAAACAAAGCACATATAAAACTAATGAAAGGCGAGCAGACAATCACAAAGAAAGGAAAGCAACAAAAACAGGAAGTACAAAAACAACACCACACATGAGAAAATAAACCTTCAAAGTAAAACAGGAAATAACTGAAAGACAAATAAATAACAAACACGCTGAAACAAGGAAAATGATGCTAAACATGATGCACGGAAACAAAATGACACCAGAAACAACTAAAAACTAAGGGAAACAACTGGGACTGTGGCATTTATGTTCCACTAGAGATTTTGATTGAAACCAATAGAGAACAAGTGGTGCTATTGGATCAAACGACAAACACACTTTGCTCCAATTCTGTGCACGCTGTTTTGATCGTATTACGCTCTATGCATTCGCTCACACTCGCTAGATGACCTCGGGACATAAGAGGAGCTGCCAACATTTTGCTGCAGGCCTGCTTGGTTAGCCAGAGTACTCTTGTGCCTGATATCTGTGTGTCTGTGCGTGTGTGGATGGACCACATCGCGTGGGTGACTGTGGATGGCATGCCAAGAGCAGCACACTCACAATCTTATAGGTCCCTAAACACAACCATGTGCTTACACAAAGAGTGAATGAGGCACTATTTTGAGAATGGATTTTACGTAACTACTGTATCACTTGGACGCCTCCGGACTTGTACAGTAGGAGAATAGGAAACAAGGCTAAAAGCTGAAACTTTGAATTTCAAGTTTAAAACTGTTGATTTCTTCTTTATATAGGTTACTGACTTACCATCATCCATGGATACTAGAAATTACATATTCCTTTAACATCTAAAAACTCTGATATAGAGCAAGCAACAAATAAGGTTCCTGTACACAGAGTTAGTGCTGTGGACAAGGAATGTCCACTAATTGCAGTGCGAGTGGTTCTCCGGCTCCTCCTGTCTGTATGCCGAACTGATAAAGTGCTTTATGGGTGTGTGAATAAAGCCATTTGAGTGGTCAATGCAACTAAAAAGCACTTAATAAACTCATTAAGCAATCCAACAGTTAGGACATCCAGAAGCAAACCTCTACACTTCTGGAGAGAGTTGGTGGAGAGCCAAAGCTGGGAGAGAGAGGGCGGCAAGAGAAGTCATGAAAGTAGGAGAGCAGACGCTAATGTGACGTAGCATATTTTGTCCTGGGAACACTTTGTGACCAAAAAAAGCAAATGAGTGCATAAATACATTCATAAGTGGAGAGTTAAGGAGGAGAGACCGCATGCAGTCAAAGTGGAGGATGGTTATGTAAAAGTGTGGGCACGGAAGGAAAGAACTCTTCCATTACCCAGCCCTGACTCACGTACACCTCTGCTGCACACGTCAAAGTGCTTACTCTTCCTCTGTACCCCCCCAAAAATGGCACCCATTTCCTGTCATGTCTTTTAAAATACTTACCCTGAACTGAGAGGCTGTGGAGGAGCTGTGCCGTCTGGGAGAAGGAGCTTCCTCGGGCTCTCTGTCCCTCTTGTTGCAGTCAATCTGTACTTTACTTTTACACTCCAGGTGACATGTGTAGCTGCAGTCTGTTGATCACACACACACAAAAACAAAACACTCCAGTCAGAGACAAGAACAGAGGCGCAGAACCGAGTGGGAACAGCAGCGAATTTAATCATGTGGTGATTTAATAATGTGGCCCCTGTGAAAGTGTGAAATGGTGATTAGTCGCATGTAAGTTATAAATGAGACCCAGTTCTGACTTAATTAAAGGTGAAATCATGCAAAAGATCCATTTGCACAGAAATCTGGCTCCATCTAGTGGCTAAGGGCAGACTCACAGCTTATACAGTGTTAAACTGCTAAGAGATTATATGCATGTGTGTAGTGATTCAGGAAAAATGGAGGCATTGATACCTGAACATGTGCTCTAATCAAGCAACTTTACCTGATACTGACTAATTTAAGGCCCAGTGAAATCTGGCTGTCATAATATTACTGCTCAGAGAAGGGATCAGAGAAGTAAATTCCCCTCCAGTGGAACTACATTAGTCAGTCAATAACAAACATGTCACATCCATTAAAAATCAAATGCATAATGTAACACAGTTTTAATGCACCGCAACAACTGATGGGCTTACTCCATTTAAAGGGAACAAATGGTGCAATGCTGCCATTGGTCAATTCCCATCGACCGCCCAGCTAGAAAAGAATAGATTCAACTCCCCCCCCTAAAATGTCCCCGAAAACTCCATCGTTGTTCTTTAATTTCTAGGTGGTTCCACGTATGTCAGCGTCTGTTTATTTATGCCCTGCTGACTTTATTGTGGTCAGAGACTTTCCCCATTGCAACACGCAGCCTCAGATCTCACTTCTCCTCCGCCGGTGAGGTAATCCATGCACAAGGATATAGTAAAAAAAAGAAAAAAAAGAAAAAAGATTACTATTGTAGAGCTGCACGGACAAAGAGAGAAGTGTATTTTGTGGAAGCTCTGAGTCAGACGCCTTTCATGGTTTTTGAGCTTAAAGCTTCATAAAGGACACACAGTGGGCTATACTGCATGCGCTCGGCGAGATCAAACCTCAAATCAGCATGTGTTGTTTTCTGTTACACCTCTTTGCTGCAGCTAGAGCTGAATGAGTAAGCCAGGCTGAGCCCTGCATGTTGTTTTTCTGCCTGCTGTTCTTAGAGGAGGGAGGGAGGAAAGAGGAGGGGGGGGGTATCACTGCGTCTCTCACACTCAGCATCAGTAACCATAGTAACAAGCTTCTTAATGAAGTGCCTTGATGCGACTTTTGTTGTGATTTGGCGCTATATAAATAAAATTGAATTAATGACCACTGTTAAAGAGAAGGGCTTTAATGCTGTGTGTGGAGCTTTTCTTATTGAAAAATTAGCTAGCAGTTTCACATTATTATCCGCTACTGATTAAAAAAAAAACAGAAAGGTCTATATGGGCATTAAAGACACTGGATAATGGTGGGCTTGCTTTTTAAAGCCGGGCTACGTGAGGAAAAAGTTTTCCCATGACAGTTTAGAAGTCACTTCAGATTGAGATGCCTCTCTGCAGTGACCTCTAAACTGCTGGTGTGTGTCTGTAGCTTCAGCAGAGAGAGAAGGACGTCAGTGCCTCACCGGCAGGAGGGATGTGTTGAAGCGAGAGGAGAGTTCAGATAGGGGATGCTCTGCTCGTGACACTTTAGAGGTCACTGCAGAGAAAGAGAGATAGAAAGGAAGCACGCAGGGGAAGGAAAAGGAGAAACTCCTTTCCTGCCCTGCTTTTCTTCATTCACTCCCTCCATCCACACTCTGGCTGGCATTCTGTGCCTTTTTTCCTCTGCATTTGGCTACGCTTACACAGACAAACCACTGCTGGTGTTTGGTTGGGTGACAACTTAAAGACGGACCCCACCCTTTTCTCTGACAAGTAACTGCAAAAGTTGGGACATGCTGAAAGGAAAACAGCCACAATGTAAGGGTGGAACGTCTTTCCCTGCTCCACACCTACATGATACACCGCTGTCAGCAAGACGTTGTTCACCTAAACTCCACGTTATTCCCACGCTGATAGCATACCTCTGCCTCGCACATAAACAAACAAATAATGGAAATGGCATTTCAGCGTTTTGGAGTATTTTGAAAATTCACAGAAGTGTTCCTGTACAGGTTTCAGCACCTTCCTTATCCCATTCTTTTGAATTGTTTGAGCTCAGGTTTTTCTTGTATGTTCAGGGTAAATGTTTGAGCGTCTGCTGGCATGCTGGTGCATGCAGGCCTGGTATTACATGAGACTCCTTCAGATGAGTGCTAATGAGCAGGTGGAAAAAAAAAAAAAAAGAGTAGCAGCAGATCCAGTGAACCAGAGGGTTTCTGAAGGTCATGCAGGCGTGCTGACGTACGCACAGGCAGAACAGAAAGAGTAAGTAGGAGAAGAGTAAGCACTTTTCTTGTGTGAGTTTTCTAAGTAATTGCAGTTGAATGCAAATTGACCCCACCAGCCCCGAGCTCCTCGCTGGGACTTGCAAAAGGGGCTTTCCACTTTCTATTCTGGAAAGTACAGTGCACTCCTTACACCGTCCACTCAGTGGAGAAGTTCCTCAATCTTAAATATATTCCACCCTGCTGGAGTTTTAGATTTTTGCAGTAGGAGATATTTACAGGAAATGCCATTTTACTTCCATATCTTTATGTGAAATTAGGCTGGAAACTACCTTTCAAAAAAAAAAACAAAAAAAAAAACTTCAACCACTGTCCACATTGGACTCTTCTAAAGCTGTGGGGACTTTTTTGGTGCTTTCTCTCCCATCATTACAGGGTTCAGGATTTGAATTGTTGTTTTTCCCCTGTAAAATACTTCTGATTAAATGGGGATGAGGTGGAGACACTTTGCTGGCAGAGAATGCAGAGCAGATATACGATACTCAGAAACTTTCCTGAGAATGTAGCAAAGTACACTGTCATCAGTCTAGTTTCCTTCTGCGCTATTTCTGTGCTGTTTCAACGTGAAGAAGGGCTCTGGTGTTAGGTGTCACCACGGATAGACCAGTTGAGCTTGGGTCGACAACAGCCGCTGTGAGCAGAAGAAGGAGGACGAGCTCTGATTTGTGAAGTAAATTCTGATCTCAGAGGAGGATGAGGCTGTTTTGTTTGTTTTCATTCTTTCTGGGGGGGTTTTCTTCCTTGTTTAGTTTCAGTTGAAGTACTTTGAGACGTTCCTGTACGCAATCAAAAAAATTTGACTATGCCAAGAATCGGCAGGTAGGGCATGTGGGTGGTTGTGGTTGTTTTTTCTGCAACATGGTGGGTGTGGGAGACACAGGCGTGGGTAAAAACAGAGATTATCAGTGAGTTTTTGGCTATGGAGGATGTCTGTATGGTTCCAGATAGAAACGAGTGGGGAGGGGCATATTGTATTTACTCCTTGTCTGGCTGAGGATGAAGGGGTTACACAGGGGTTAGGTAGCGATAAAAAAGGGGCGAGGATATTAACACACTAATGAACCTGAAGGGAGCTCTGTAGGATTTAGAGTAGCTTTGGGGGTCTTTGGGGGGCCTTTAGCTAGTCTGATCCCATCATAGCTGATTTGAAGCAGTTATCCATGTTCTCCTACTGCGTAGCTGTTCTTCATCTCTCGGCACATTGGTGAATAAAAATATTACCGTTCCGTTTTTATACTTGTCTCCATCTCTGCCTTATTCATAACTCAAACCACCCCTCCATATGCTGCCAAATCGGACATGAATAGATCTAATCTAATCCCAAATCTGAATTTAATCTGACCCTCTTACCCCTTTGACATCTGTTTTTATTTGTGTAAACAGTCATTTCATATTTCGTTCTGACATTTTTAATCTTCATCGCGGCAGAGTCTGTCTTCTCCTCTCGCAAAACTCCCATCTGCGAGGTTACAGATGCTCTGAGAATAAGCAAAACAAACAAGACAGGAAGTGGGCTTTATTTTTGTTTGTTTTTTTTAGTCTGTGCTGTGAGCTGTAAATAAATACAGCTGAATATTTTTGTGGGTAATGATTACCTCGTTAGTGAATGTTTTGGAATGATGACAGTTAGGCTGCATGATAAAAAAAAAAAAAAAACAGCACATTTTTAAAAAATATGAAGTCCATACATGCATGTTGGCCCCATAAATGTCAAATAAGCAAAATTTCCATATAAAGTTATGGATCCCAACCTAACCATCACCCTACTATTAACTAAATGAGTCCATCTGAAGTGCGGTCATAAATGGATGGATGGATGGATCGATACTACATGCTAAATGAAATACAGTTACAGTAAAGCAGACTGACTGTACAGTATGTCCATATAGCGTTTATTTGAGGCTGCTTAACACATGTCCCCATCTGTTGTCACGAATGTAAAGCTTCACTCTGTGCTGACAACTGAACAAGCAAGCAGGCCTTGAGAGTTTTCCCATCATTCTATGGTGCAAATATTTCCCAGTTTCTAATTCACAAATGACTCTCAAACCTCAATAGAAGAACGTCCAGCGTAGTAAACTGCACTAAACTGCGTTCCAGTGAGGCAAAACTTTTAAAATGTGCACGACAGAAGCCTTGATAAGCCACTAATAGCTTGACTCAATGAGCGCTCAGATTTGATACTACTTGTACTTTTATAGCAGTGCAATAAATTTGACACATTTTCATAGCTATATGGTGTTTTATATGTTGTGCAGTTTCTTTTTTTTTCATGTTCTGTGTGCTAATGCTTAAAAAGTACTTTATGGTTAATGGAATGGCCTCCATTTGGTTTCTGAGCACAACCTCTGATGGCCTACGGATACACAGACTGAGCCCTGACGACGTGGTTTTAAACTGACAGAGTGCCCTTTTTCTAGTTATTTCTGTAAATATGCAGTAGTGCTAAATTATAGCCCCGTGTTGGCA